CCCCTCCCCCCTTCTTTCCCTGTCCCTCCTTCTCCCTCTCCTCCCGCTCCACTTCACACACAGACACACACACACACACATTAGAAAAGAGGTTCAAGTCCATCCTGAGGTGCTTTGGAAGAAAGGCTTGGAGAGCTGTCTCAGAAATGAGCCCTAACAATCCTGGAGCTGAGTGCGGCTCTAACAGACAAGGAGGCGTGGCTGGGAGTCCTCCTAGAACTCTGTCTAATTTGAATTGCAAAGCACTTGAATTGTGAAGCATTTCTGCTTCACAGGAAGTTTAGTTCTTATGTTTATCCTTCGTGAACACAAAGAACCAGTCATCTGGGCCCCCCCTCCTAAAACCTCTCCATAAACATTGCCGCCTAGTGAGCTGGGACCCACAGCTGCTGCTTGGAAGGCATTCTCGTGACTTCATTGCGGTCTTATCTCTGGGAACCCACTGCCAGTTTGTTTACAACACTCTCTGGTCATTGTCCTACCCACCCTGAACCCATATCCTCTGTGGTAAGCAGCTTCTCCCAGACCATAGGGCCGTGGAGTTGGTTCTGACTCATAGTGACCCTGTGTAGAGATTCCAAGGAGCAGCTAGTGGGTTTGAACCACTGACCTTGAGGCTACCAGTTGAGTACTGATTCACAGCGCTACACCATGGGTTCTGGCATGGTGCTGTACGACTGGTTCAAACCCACCAGCTGCTCCTTGGACCACTATACAGGGTCCCTGGGAGTCAGAATTGATGCAGTAGCACTTAACAGGAAATCCATCAGCGTGCAACTTCCTGGCTGGCCCTTTCCCCACACATGAAACTCCTTCCATTGTGTCTTCTGGTGATAGCTCCCTGCTTCTGAAGGCCAGGCAGGGACTGACCACAAATAGCTGCAGGGTGATGCACTGGACTGGAAGGTCAGTTTGAACTGCAAGGTCGGTAGTTTAAACCCACTAGCCACTCCTCAGAAACCTTATATAGGGTGTCTCTATAGGTTGGCACCAACTGGCTTCCTGGTTGCTGATTTAGTACCTCTTCTCCAGCCCCGCCCCCTTCCCACTCTTGCCCTCCTTACAGTTACTCCTCTGACTCTGGACTCAGCTGGGAAGGAGTGCCAAGTGCTTGGTCCTTAGCTCTGAGTTTCCATTTTTCCCTTTTGAGAGGTCAGGTTTTATTATTTATTTAAAAAGTTTTTTTTTTTTACAAAAACAATAGCTGTTTGCCTCAGTTTACAAAAAACAACAATAAAGGCTTTTCTTGAACCCTTCAGAGAGCTGAGGGCTTGGGAAAACATTGCTGACCACCCCAGTGTGCCCCTCTCCCCAGACTTCTTTATTCTTATTTTGAAGATTTTTCTGCAGTGAGATCTTCAACCCCGAAAAAGGCAAGTTAGAGATGTTTAAACAGCGAGCCTCTGGTCTGCGAGGCCCAGTGTTGGGTGCATCCCCACTCAGCAGAGCCCACCCATCAGCACCCGCTCTGCTCTCTTTAAATTTTGATAGTAATTCAGAAAGTCTGTGGGAAAATTCCATCATCTTTCAGTCTGATTTTTCCGTGAAGGCTTTGATACCTTCTCATGTATGCCATACATTTGGCATCTGATTTCCATTCCAGCTTGGGCAGCGGTCACCACTGTCTTTTTCCCAAACTACTTCACCCAAGCGTAGTGGTTACGAATCGGGCTGTGAACCTTAAGGTCAGCCGTTCGAAACTACCAGCCGCTCCGCGGGAGAAAGATGAGGCTTTCTACTCCCGTAA